AACGCTGGAGCCTGGTACCAGTCAGGTAGGCCTTCCTGTTTCGTGAGGTCCTAGGGTCCAGTAGGCCGTATGTTACCAGTAGAAATAGCTGAGGCGCGATTTCCTTCAGGTTCTTTTCGTTGTGCTTTGCTGGGGACATGCTGCTGCGCCGGTAGCTGAACTGTACCGCTTGGCGAAGCAGTAGGCTGCCATAGCGGAGTGCTGAACGCCCGCCATAGCTGGGGCGACACTTGGTACACGAGCACAGCGCTGCAGAAGGAGCTGCATACCCTGCAAAGTAGGGACCTCGTCTGTGGATGTGGGGAGCTGGGCGCTGCCGTGGCGGCCGCCACATGGCAGCTATTTGGCCTGCCCTTCCAAGTTCAGATGTCTTCTTCATCAGGGAGCTGGCGCTGCCCTGCTGAATGGGCACTGGCTGTGGAAACAGGGCTTGTTGGTGTTTCTTGATTGGTGCTCTTGAGTGGGAGGTCGGGTTGGCGGTCTGTAGGCAATGTGGTGCTGTTTCAGGGTGGTGCCATAGTTACGCCTGTGGAAGCTGATAGGGAGAAAGAAGATATATCCCGATTGCTTCATTGAAACTTGTTTCTTATTTCCCAGCACTCCTTGAAACTCGGTTGGGATTCTGGGAATTTGTATCCTCTCCCTTGAGCAGCATTGGCCGCGGGGGGAGGTCGATGGTCGGCTGCGGAAATGGGTTGAACTTTTGGTGAGGGCCGACGAATGAAGGTGATCAAGGGCGGGGCAGTGAGGGGTGCGTGTACCGAATTGTTCACAGCACACCATTAAACGAGAGAGAGCGCCCACGGGATGGGGCATACGGTGGGCGTTGATGCAGCCGAATATCTCGATGTGCCGGCCATTGTATAGTAAGAAAGTGTCATTTTGTTTTGTTTTTTTATTAATTCTTTTAATCGTCAGTTTGCTTTTTCTTTGTCTTTGTCTGGATTTTATTCCTTTTTTTCTCTCTTTTTTTTTCTACTTTTTTCTTCTTTTTTCTGTGGGTCTTGGTGAGTAGTGGAGCCAGCACGTTTTGATTTGGGCCTCACTCCAAAAAAACAACAAACAGAAAAAGACTGAACAAAATCATGGCGTATCTTCCGACACTCTAGTGGAAGATTCAGGCCATCATAGCAGCACTCTCCACATGTGCCAAAAGAGAATGAACTTCCCGCTAGACCATGGGAAGATGCACCCACCACATTTCTGTCTTTTTCACATTTCCCAAGGGGAGCAAAGTCCAGATTTGGACCTCGCTCCCACTGTTTATGAAATGTGCAAAATGAGCATAAATCTCCGCTAGAACATGGCAAGATTCAGTTCATGTGACGAACTGAGAGCCTTCGTCGAAGCGCTCTCTGTCTGCTTCTCTCTCTCTCTCTCTCTCTCTCTCTCTCTCTCTCTCTCTCTCTCTCTCTCTCTCTCTCTCTCTCTCTCTCTCTCTCTCTAACGTCCTGATACCTTCACCATATCCAATGCTCTGTGTGTGTGTGTGTGTGTGTGTGTGTGTGTGTGTGCGCGCGCGTAATGTTCGTCCAGAAGAACGCATGTGAAGTGCGCCGAAGGGTTGTGGGTGTGGGTGTGCCCGTGTGTATCAGAGAGAGAGAGAGGCCAAGGTCCTGCCATCGCCAGTGGCACAAACCGAACATGCTCTGTGTAGATATGGCTGTGTCTCAAAACAAAGAAGAAGAGGAAAAAAAAACGGGAGTTAAAAATAAAAATAAAAACGTTGTGCACAGCGTCAATGCGCGTGTGCTGTCTGCTGAGGAGGTATGTTCTTTCTCTCTCTCTCTCTCTCTCTCTCTCTCTCTCTCTCTCTCTCTCTCTCTCTCTCTCTCTCTCTGTGTGTATATATATATATATTTGAGTCATTATTTCGCCCTCTCTTTGTCTGTGTCTGTTTCTCTCTCTCTCTCTCTCTCTCTCTCTCTCTCTCTCTCTCTCTCTCTCTCTCTCTCTCTCTCTCTCTCTCTC